TAAATGCCACACCGCTAGACTCAATAACCCCTGCTGTACGGAGCATCCACTGGCACCTGTCAAGAAAACCCTGGGCATCCTCGCCCTCAGCACCACTGAATGTCAGAGGCTGGAGTCTACCAAACCTCTTAAGACGACGCTGCTCATCCTCCGGCATAGCTGGAACCCTAAACTCCTGCACCGGTGTAACCTGCTGAGCTGGAGGTGCCTCTAGCGTCTGTAGTCCCCGCACTACCTACTCAGGTGTGTGAGCAGCGGGGGTCTGATTGCCTCCCCCGGCCTGCGAAGTAGCTGCTGCTGTGGTGGCTGAAACTGCCTGAGCCAGGCCAGTGCAAACTGTCAAAATCTGTGTCAAGGTCTCCTGTAGACCCGGAATCACGATGGGCACAACTGGTGCCTGAATTGGTGCTGCGGGAGTCTGATCTGGAGCTGGGGCAGCTGGTGGATCAACAGATGCTGCCCTCGCTACTCTGCCTCTGCCACGACCACGACCGTGTCCACGGCCTCTGGTGGCCTCAGTGGGTGGTACTGGTGGTCGTCCACCTCGTCCTGTAGCTCGTGTCCTCACCATCTATGAGAGAATAGAATAGTAGAAGTTTAGTTCCCGATTCAACAAAGTCGCACGACAAGAGTTTCAAGAATATGAAGTTTTCCTAAAGGTTCCGCAGCCTCTCGAGGATAAATACAGACGTCTCTGTACCGATCCACGAGACTCTACTAAACCGGCTCATGACTCGCGAGACCTAGTAACCTAGGCTCTGATAGCAACTTGTCACGACCCCAACCCCGGTCGTGATGGCGCCCAACACAAATGCTAGGCAAGCCCGACCAATTCAACACTCTCAATCCCTTTCCTTAAAATTCAATACCGATTAACAGAATTTAATTACCAAACTAATATGAATAGAAGTCTGAAATAAAAGATGAAATGTGCGAAAACCAAGATATTATTAATCTTTACAATGGCCCACCGATCCGGTGTCACAAGTCAAGAGCCTCTACTACATGGGTTCAACAGTCTAATACAGGAACAATCTAAAAGCGGAAAAGGTAATGAAAGATATAGGGAGAAATCGAGTATGCGGACGCCATGCAGCTACCTCGACAACTCTGGTGGAATCTGAACCGCAGGATAGCTCGTACTACACCTCAGGAACACCTGGATCTGCACACACGGTGCGGGGAGTATTGTGAGTACTCCGACCCAGTGAGTAATAATAATAAATAATGACTGACAATATGAAGTCGCGTAAAGGCACTAAGCAGTTCTATATCAAAGCAGTAAAGCCATTCAAACAGCAGATAATGAAGAAGTCAGGTGAAATTCCTTAAAACGAGGTAGAACAGGTAACTTAACCAGTATTAATCAAGTATAAAATCCGCTCCTCGAGCATATTGTTCATTTATTTGTAACTTTTCCTCAGTACTCACTCATATACTATTCACAATAACCGAAATCATAAATATACCGCTGCGGCGTGCAGCCCGATCCGTATATCGCTGTGGCGCACAGCCCGATCCATAACAATAGTCGACTGCGCTCACTAGGGGTGTGCAGACTCCAGAGGGGCTCCTACAGCCCAAGCGCTATATTGGTGCGGCGCGCAGCCCGATCCATATATGTATAAATATACATTTGCTGCGGCGTGCAACCCGATCCATATAAACATATTGCTGCGGTGTGCAGCCCGATCCATAACATATAAAACATCCTTACTATTGGGTTCTCAACCCCTCTCAGTTAATATAAACAGAGCCTCTCGGGCATACCAATATAAGATAGGGATCTCAGCCCACGTATTACTTTCATTTAGGATTAGCATTTCAACAATCAGTTCATATTGTGTTAAACAGTTAGAAACATGACTGAAGGTATGATTTTTAACAAGTAAAGTGAGGATAATCAGTAAAAATGCCCCTAGGGGTTCTACAGGTCGGCACAAGGCCCCAAACATGGCAACTAGCCCAGATCATAATGGTAATAATTAAATCTCTGTCAAAATACGGTAAAAATCACCAATCGGGATGGACCAAGTCACAGTCCCTAGAAGTAAAGAACCCCACGCTCATCATACATCGTGTGTCTCACCTCAACATAGCACTACGTTGTGCAAATCCGGGGTTTCAAACCCTCAGGACATCATTTATAATCATTACTCACCTCAAGCCGGCCAAACTCTAGCTCGCTATGCCCTTGCCTCTCAAATCGACCTCCTCGCGCGTCGAATCTGATCAAAACCACAACGAATACGTCACAATATGCTAAGGAAACAATACCCTATCGAATAATATCAAGAGTCTCGAAATTAGCAAAACCTGAGCCCCGGGCCCACTTCTCGAAATTCAAAAATTTTCGCATCATTAGACTCCTTATGTCCCCACGAGTTTATACATATCAAAAACAAAAGAATCGGAGTTCAATTAACCTTTCAAATCCTCAATTTTTGCTCTCTTAAGTTCAAGCCCTAAACCACCATTTTTGTCCATTAATTTCCAGTCCTAATTCATGAAATAGCACCATAGAATCGAGTTTTGGGTCCAAAAATCCTTACCTTATCGAAGCTCCTTGAAATCCCTCTTTAAATTCAACCACAATCCTCCAAGTCCGAGTTAAAAATGAACAAACCCTTCAAAATTCGCGAAGAAGAAGCATATATACATCTGCCCAGTCGAAACCGCACCTGCGGTCTCAAAATCCGCTTCTGCGGTCACACCCTCCGCATCTGCGGAAATTCACTTAAAGCCCCAATCCCGCATCTGCGGTCAACTTGTCGCATCTGCGACTCCGCAGATGCGGTCCCCACTCCGCATCTGCGGTTCCTAACGTGCCTTCATAAGACCGCACCTGCGTCTCTCTCCTCCGCATCTGCGAGACCGCACCTGCGGTCCCCAAACCGCAGGTGCGAAAATACTTGGAGCAACAGAAAAACCTGCAACACACAAGGCTCAAAACTCCATGTTAGCCATCCGAAATCACCCCGAGGCCCCTGGGACCTCAACCAAAAGCATCAACGCATCCTAAAACATCATTCAAACTTGCTCCAATCATCAAAACACCTCAAACAACACCAAGACCATCAAATTACATCGAATTCAAGCCTAAGTTCTTCTAAAACTTCCGAAACACGCATTTGATCAAAAACCTAACCAAATCACCTCCGAATGACCTGAATTTTACACACACATCCCAAGTCACATAACGAAGCTATAGCAACTCTCGAAATTCCATTCCGACCCTCGGATCAAAATCTCACCCATCAACCAGAAATCGCCGAAATACTAACTTCGCCAATTCAAGCCTAATTCTACTCCGGACCTCCAAAACCACTTCCGATCACACTCCTAAGTCAAAAATCATCCCCTGAAACTAACCGAATCATCGGAATTTGCATCCGAGCCCTCTAACTCATAAGTCCACATCCGGTTGCCTTTTCCAACTCAAGCCTTCTTAAAAGAGACTAAGTGTCTCATTTCCTACTATAATCACTCCAAACCAACTCGATCACCCAAGACACTGATAATGAATCATAAAGAAACCAAAAAATGGAGGAAACGGAGCGGTAACTCATGAGACGACGGGTCGGGTCGTCACTGACACACAACTTATTTATTAATTTATCTTCAACAGTCATGTCCTTGCCCTATCTCTATCTATATATTTCTCACCCCATTCTTTAATTTCTTCAACTTAGCAACATTGCTTTGGATAGCCCTGTCGGTCAGATATTCAATTTGCTTTGGAGATAGAAACAGTTTTATATAATCTATGCGGTCGGTGTTTAATAAATAAAAAGGTCTTATATTAGCTATATGGATTCTTAGGATGGCGTGGGATTAGATATTGAAGGTTCCTCCCAAGCATTTTGGATATGAAATTTATATTGTTGGAAATGTTCTCTCTAACCCGGACAACCTTTCTTCTTATAGATATCTTCATAGAGTGGAGTTTACCTTAAATGTTGTATTCTACATATCTAATCGGCGGAATGAAGCGTTGACTAATACTTTAATGGAGATGGAGCCTACAAGGCAATCAGATTCCCTTTACAATCTTCCATGTCTGAACTTTAGATACTGATTGACGGTAAGAGAAGAATAGAGACTTCTGATTTACTAAATAACATGTGGAGCTCCCAACCTCATGGATCATTCTTTTAAGTACAGGGAACTAAAGAATCAATAAGTTTTACAGAATTTTTTGAGCAATTAGAAGAACATTGTTTTGGAATTTAACTATAGTAATGTATATTTTATATTTCAAGTGAGGCATAAGTCATCAATAGAATATTGAGTAAATGACTTAGTTGCAACAATATTCAAAAACTTTGATCATTGGAAGCACAAAATTGTCTGACCTTTGCTGCCACTTTTTTGCATCTAGCAAATCTATAACTTGACCCAGTAAGTGACATAACCATGTTAGTATTACCTGGTCCAAGAGCAAAGAGAAAAAGAATGAATCCTAATTTGGAATTAGAATCTACCTGTTCTCATAGTTTAAGACTGAACGTTGGAAAACACGCAAATCCACAGTCATCAAAATCATTGGAAGACACCCCATAGGAAGCTGAAGGTTAGAGCTTTCCTAGAGCTTTTACTTGTTTCCTGTAGCGATCTTTTTGCTTCGTTGGCCACTGAAAAATTTGGATTTCGCTGCTATTGATTTCTTATAAATACGTTTCACGTTGAAAGTAGGAGATTTTTCTCAACTATAACTATCATTTGAAAAATTTTTGAGTTAATTTTATCCATGGTCATTGAACTTTTGTGTTAGTTACCCAAAAGAAAATTTTTTTTGGTACGTAAAAATTCTTCAACTTTGTGTTTTTTGAGTTAATTTTATCCATGGTCATTGAACTTTTACCCAAAAGTCAATTTTTTTGGTACGTAAAAATTATTCAACTTTGTGTTCATGACACAGAAGTCACTATTTTTGCTTTTGTAACCAAGGTACATGTACGCGTCTGCTCCAGGTTTTGACACGTGCTTACAACACCGCATTTTAGCTAAGGCAATTCCCATCTTCACAGGCGGTTCCCCTGTGCGCTGTGTCAAAATTCCCCAAATTCCTCCTGCTTTCGTTGGTCTCCCCTCTGGCACTGTTAGATTTCATTGCATCGTCTGTGGAGCTATCCGGTGAGTTACTTTTGCGCTCTTCTCTCTTCTTTGATTTTCTGACCTTCTGTTAGTTTTAAATTATTATCTCATCACAGGTCCTATTCGATTAAACTGTATAATTGGGGTAAAACAGTTGGTCGATGGTTTCTCTCTTTTGTATATACTTCACAATCACCAGAATTAAATTTTCTGAGATGACTTTACCTGGGATTTCGGAGCTGTTTGCATAGTTTTGGCTGGTTTACTTCTGAATTTAGTTAACTTTTCCTTTTTCCTACTGTGGTTGCGAAAACGAAATTGAATTTATTATTTGCACATACCTAGATTTTCTGTTTTAAAGTTCGTTTTCCCGTGGCAAGTTCTACTAGATTAGTATTGTTTCAACTAGGTAAAGAAGTTGGTCTACTATTTTTTTCTTTCGGGTACGACGTGGAATTGACCTTGGCGAACAGAAAATTCGAAGGAGTCCAACACTAAAAGGACATAGAGAACTCTTAAAAGAGTGTACGAAGCTGAACACTTGAATTTTTGTTTAGTTGTGCAAAATTAAAGGAACAAGTAGTAACTAATTTTTATTTTTACTGAGTCTCCTCTAAGTACTTTCTTGCAAAGCTAGAAACGGCTAATATATTTTGATTTGTGGTGCTTTCTTCATTTGAGTTTTATCCATTGTTTTCTGTTGATTAGAGTAGCTGATTAGATGACCATCTTTCTGAATTTGGTGGTTTTTTATATGTTGGTGTCTCAGTTTACGCTCTTTCTTTCTTCGTATTTTGATATCTTATTCTATTTTTGTGCGACATGAGTTACTCCAGAGATATTCATTGTGCAGATATTCTGAATTGTTCCTTCATGAGTTTCTCTTGTTATTTGATAAAACAATATATTTACAAGGTCTCACATTGACGTGCAGGATGCCTGGAGTGCCGACGCCTTCGAAAAGGCACATTAATGGATCATCGACAATAAAAAAAGAATTTCACTCAGTAAACGAAGCTCGTGATAAAAATACTAAACACCATAAAATAGATAACTTTTTAGCAATGACTCAGAAAGACGAAAAGTTGTTGCAACGCCGCCTCAAATGTCGATAGGCAACAACTAATCGGCTTCTCGCAAATGCAAATCATGTGAATCTTGATGGAACGATATCTCACATACAACATGATGTTAATATTGGAGTAGCTTTTCCAACTTCAGAAACAGGTTAAAAAATGAAATCTGTTATTTCTTTTCTTGCCTTTTTAGTATATACATACACAATGATTATACATGTGCTATCCCTATGTATCATGACCATTAATTCTTACCATGTAGTTACTGTGCGGGGAAGTTTTTCTTCATTGGATGCATATGACAGGGAGAAAGATATGCTTCTTCCTTTTCATGTTTTTGAAAAAGGTAGGCCCAAAATTATATATCTTTCTAACTAATACTAAAATACAATATGCTTGGGATTTGTAGAAAAGTTTGTACTATACGTTTTTATGCTAAATCTTGAGATGCCAACGTGGATTTGTTGTTTAAACTAATAAAAGTCTTTTCTTTTGCTATGTGAAATCTTTACAGAGGAAAGTTCCAGTTCTTTGTTGGAATTGAGTTGAATGGTTCATGAGCATTTTTAGATCATTATAGTTGAAATTGGGTTAATTTATACGGTTCAAAAATTGTCAATTGGAATGCTATCGTTGTCTAATTTTAAGATTCAAAGGCCTAAAATGTTGCTTCTATTGTTTTGAGATGTTCTTTTCTCATGAATTTTGCTTTTTAGAGGACTCTATAAAGTTTCAATCTTGGGGGAAAGGGGGGAGGGGGGATGTAGAAGCTCTGCCTAAATTTTCGATGCAAGAAAGAGCAAAAAAATAATAGCATTTTGGCATTTGAGTTATGCAATTTGGTAACTTGTATTTGGTATGTTGGAAGGATAGACTGGTTCTCTATTCTGATTTGATATGTTAGTTATAATTTCAGCGAGATCAATTAAAAATTATATATAGGGTTATTTTTGCAAGTCCTTGTTGTCTGTACTCATAGAGGTTTCACTATAAATTTATCAATCCCATAGCTGCAATATCATAACTGCCCAAGAGAAGTTAAATAAATGAAGTATAAAGTAGTAAAGGCGGTGTTCAAGCTCATTATTACTACAATTTCCATAACACATGTTAAATAATGTTAACTTCGCAGGTACATATATGTTTACAGACTATTGAAAAGAAACAACTGCTACTTGAAGCAGATATTCAAATTTTCTTCCTTTTCATCTGTTATTTGGAACTCAGTGTAATATGTTGGACTTTCTATTCTTTATTTTGCCTAGTGTAATGATTAAGCTCTATTCTTCCTATTATTTGAAAACTTAGTTGCTTTTAGAATTCGGAGTAGAAATCACACGAAATTTTGGTGATTCTACTTCATCTATTTAATTTGTATACTAAAAGAAGATGAATCTGAATAATGTGTGGTTGGCCACTAAAAAATACGGCATTCTGTCAACTATAGTTGTTGGGGCAGAATGTAAAGTTGTATTCCACCCAAAGGACAACCAGAACTGGGCAGAATTATGCGATGACAAAATTGATTGCGGCCATCTTTCATGGAGTTAGATGATGCTAAAAAAAAGTTGGGGCAGATTGGTTGAGTTAAATTTTAATGATGAACTTACTACTGGTTTACTTTTCTGGATTCAGTTTCCGTAACCTACATCTTCACATGCCCTGCAAATTTCCATACAGAAGCTGCTATATATATATAGTGAAACATCTTATTCAAAAAGCTCATTTACATAATGACCTGTGTCAACACTAATCATAACCAAAATGTATAAGTTTACCAAAATGAAAATATGATATATGAAAAAAAGTTGATTTACAAGGTACATTTACATATTTTTAATTCTATACTCTGGTGATGATTTGAATCATTACTTTAACGTTATGACTCCTCCTTGTGTTGTGACTTGAATATGCGCCAAAACTTCCATTTTTAGAACAGCAATATGGAAAATTCACCATTAAAATTTAACTCAACCAATCTGGCCCAACTTTTTTTTTTTAATATCATCTAACTCCATGAAAGATGACAGCAATGAGTTTTGTCATCGCATAATTCTGCTCAGTTCGTCTAAAGCTAATGCCTTTCACAACCAATGATTTTAATTTGTACCATTATTATGAATGAGTAGCTTTCAGTCAGATAGATTCAATATCGTAGTGTAGGAACAATCACATAGTGGAATAACTCATTCTGGCAAATGAGCAAGCACCTTATGGCCATCTTTTTTAAACTAAACGAAGAACATGCAAACCTTGGAGAATAACCTATTTTATAAACTTAATAAAGAACAGAAATATCTTGGTAAAGAACCTATCCCTTTGCAGGCGTGCCCTGTTTTTCGGAGTCCACAATCAATCGCAATTTTTTGGCAGACAAACACAGAAAATTGTGGACCAACAATTTAAACAACTTTTACGCAGCAGCGAGTTCAAAAATTAGAAAAATAAGAAAACAAAAAGAGAAAAAATTGGGAGAGGAGTTAGACAATTATGAAAATCTGAAGGAAGAAGCTGGGGAATGGCAAGACATCCACGTTCAGTTTGGGGAATTAGTGCCGCCAACTTTGACGTGTCATAAGTTGGGGAAAGGGTTACCATGTGGTACTATACAGTTTTCCCAAAGTACCCCCTACCACCCCAAGCTCCTCAAACTCTCCCAAATTCTGATTGTGGACATACCAAAAATTATTGTATTTTAACAATATTTGTTAGTTCTAGATTCTTCACCAGCAAACTCTCTTAATTGTGTTTACGTAACATGAGGTAGTATTGACATTGAATCACAGAAACCTTTAATGTCAAAACAGGATTCAGCCACCTAGGAAAAACCTGTTTCATAAATGGTTTCTTGGTTCTCATTCTGATCTTCGAGCTAATCCCTCTCCCCGGCCACTTGATATCTTTGACATTGCAAAATCTTAAACATGTTTGATGTACTTGACTGCAGTCATTGAAAATGATTGTCCTTGTGCTAGTTGAATTCCCCTAACAACATATAGGAATTAACCTGTAAACAAGTTGCATCAATCCAGTAATACCTAATTAAAGGAAAAAAACTCCGAGCTGTGCAAATAAATACGAAAATAACATTGACAAGCCCCGCCAAGCACGAATAGGGGGTTGGAGCGTAGAAACGAAGAAGGCGCCACAAGTTAAAGGCACGAACACAGCCCACAACAACCGATGGCAATTGACAATGTAATGAGCTTCGCCCCATGCGCAAGGCACCTTGCGGCACTACTTGCACGACGCTCCGCCGTTCCGTTTCCAAAAGCCTTCAGCTGCCACGAGCGATGTCGCCACCCGAATTGCTGGGTGCCTCTCCCTGGGGCTCGCCCCGAAACACCTTTTAAAACATAGTGTTGTATCTTAGGGAAGTGATTGCACCAACCCATTAGCAAACTAGGTATCAAGGGCGATTTAGTGTGGCATGAAATCTTGATCCGGAACCTCTGTCCACAAATTCACTGGATCCTCCTCTATTTAGCTGTCTAGTTCGTCGTGACATGGAATAGATACGTAGTAATATATTGTTGACTTTTTCTCCCAGAAGCTAAGATACAACCTCAGGTAGCCACTTTCTGCATATATAAACATTTTACTACAGAAATTTATCTATATTGCAATTATAAAACTTTTTGCGCGTTTGGAAAAAGAATGTAAGGTGGCATGTTACATATTTAGAATAAATACTATGTAACAAAGAGTATTATTACTCTTTTTGTTCATGTTTTTTAGATTCACTCAATTCAAAACTCAAATACTTTCTATTCACATTCTTAAATGTATTACACATTTGCTATTTTTTCTTTTTACGAAAAGAAATTCACCGGCGATACCTGTTTAAACAATTACAAAGACCAATCATATATATAGTTTATATATCCAGTAGTACATAAATGAAATCCATCAGATTGCCAACCCTTGAATGTACTACTTGATTTGTGTACTGCAACTCTATGTCTAGTTAGTCAACTGTACTTGCAGTGCTAGTACCATTGAACTTGGAATTTTTCATTCATCCGATTTCTTTAAATAAAAGGAAATCTTTTAATTAAATTATCTTTTGAATCGATGCATCCTTTCCTATTTGCTATGCCTGTGGTCAACTTATCCGTCGTTCCAAGTTATTACTAGTACTGGTTAACTAGTTGACTTATAATAAATTTTTGTATTTTTCAAATATAAATAAAAAAAATTTAAGAAACTTTAAGAATCTATACGCGCTAATTCACACTGAAAATTAAGTTCCTTTCACATTCGTTCCTTCATAGAAATTGAGACAAAATGAGTATATTTTTCTTGAATATAACGTTTGTACATCGTAGGTCAGTGTAAAGAATTTTTAATACTATCACGTCACTTTAAGGACATCTACCGATAAACCTTTTCAAAATGCAGGTACGTACTCCAACAGATAAATATGACCTAATGGTGTATTGACACATTACATATAACTTAAAATCTTTTTTAATTACCTTCATCGGCAAAAGAGGTAAAATGACTCTTTCTGTTTATTGAAAGGCAAAGAAATCTTATAGGCGCATTTAAAAAACTGCTAAAGACCTAAAAAAAGTCTATTAAAAAAACTGAGATAGTACCCGTACTTGGGAAGTCTACGCAAGGGAATTAGTAGGTAACATCAATAATCATAAAAATTAAACGCTACAACATCTCTTTATAAGGTAATCTCATCACATGGATATGTATATGCATCAACAATCAAGATAGTAGTAATTCAACTATATTCAAGAAACGATCACAGTTTAGGCAAAGATGGAGAGCAGATTTGTGTGGAAAATTGTTTTGCTTTTAGTTTTTATTGGATGGCTTTTCATCTGGATAATGTTACCTACTAATGGCAATAAGGGGCAATATCTTCGTTCATGGAAACGGCCTGTGCTTGCGATGGCTCCTCTCGGAATTTTTAACGCTGTTGAGCTTGCTTTTGCTGTTATGTGTGACGATCCGGCCAGTCGTCTCATGAGTTATCGCTCCGTTTCCCCCATTGCTGCTTCTTTATGCTTCGTTATCTGTTTTTGTGGTATCGGGTTGGTCGGATTGAGTCCGGGAGGAATTTGGTGAAGTTCGAGACACTTTGTCTCTTTTAAGAAGGTTTAAGTTGGAAAAGTCAACAGGATGTTGACTTATGTGTTAGAGGGCTCGGATGTGAGTTCCGATGGTTCGGTTAGCTTCGGGAGGTGATTTATGACTTAGGAGTGTGATCGGAATGGGTTTTGAATTGGCGAAGTTGATATTTTGGCGATTTCCGGTTGGTTGGTGAGATTTTGATCCGGGGGACGGAATAGAATTCCGAGAGTTACAGTAGCTTCGTTATGTCATTTGGGATGTGTGTGAAAAATTCCAAGTCATTCGGATGTGATTTGGTTGGGTTTTTGATCAAAAGCATATTTCGGAAGATTTTAGAAACTTAGGCTTGAATCCGATGTGTTTTGAGTAGTTTGATGTTATTTGAGGTGTTTTGATGATGGGAACAAGTTTGAATAAGGTTTTAGGATGTGTTGGTGCTTTTGGTTGAGGTCCCGGGGGCCTCGGGTGAGTTTCGGGTGGTCAATCGGACCATTTCTAAGTTGGAAAATTGTAGATTTTGGGATCAGCTGTTGTAGAAAATTAACCCTTCGCGATCGCGTGAGGTGTATCGCGATCGCGTGGAAGGAATTGAGGAAGGCCATATTTAAGTCTTCGCGTTCGCGTGTGAGGCTTCGCGTTCGCGGAAGGCTGGGATCCTGTGCTTCGCGTTCGCGTGAAGTTGTCCGCGATCGCGTATAAGGAATGGGGTCAGAAGGGTCCAAGAGGAATTGTTCTTCGCGTTCGCATTAGGGAGTTCGCGTTCGCGTAGGTGTGAGAGGCGAAAGCATCGCGTTCGCGGTGTCCATGTCGCGTTCGCGTAGTGTTATTTTTGGGAATTAAAAATTTGTTCTTCGCGTTCGCGAGGCTAGTGCCGCGATCGCGATGATGGAAAGGCAGAACTGGGCAGAATGTTTTAAGTCATTTCAGTCGCGATTTTGAGCTTATTTTCACCCATAGTTGATCATCTTGAGAGCTTTTTGAAGGAGATTAAAGAGAGATTCAAGGAGAAACGTTTGGAGGTAAGAATTTCGGAACTAAAACTCGATTCTATTGTGAAATCTACCTAGAAATTCATGGAAACTTGAACTAAAAATGGAAGAACTAGGGCTTGGAATTTTGGAGTTTTGATTTGGGATATGAGGGGTCATTTGGACTCCGATTTTGGTGTTCTTTATATACATAGACTCGGGGGAGATAAGGAATCCATTGATGTGAAAATTTTTGAGTTTCGAGAAGTGGGCCCGGGGCTCGGGTTTTGCTAATTTCGGGATTTTTGGTATTTTTCGATTGTTTTCGCTTGGGCTTTGTTTCCTTAGCATATTGTGACGTATTCTCTCTGATTTTGAATAGATTCGACGTGAGTCGAGGCCGATTCGAGAGGCAAAAGCGTCGCGGAGTAGTATTTTCACCGGTTTGAGGTAAGTAACCATTGTAAATTTGGAACCGAGGGTACAAACCCCGGTATTTGACTCGATTTGTTAAATGATGTGACGCACATGCTAGGTGACGAGCGTGTGGGCGTGCACCGTAGGG